GCACATAACAACAAGAACAACAACTTAGAACTCTGTAAGATGAAAATAGAAATAACCTTTTTCTTCGCAGCCTCAATGTCTGATTGAAAAAGTATAAATAAAGCTTACCTGCAAGTCTAGACTTGGATTATATCAATATTCTGAAGGAATGTGTAATAGAAAAAAGCGTGAATTAGACACTAAAGATCAGAAGTTTCTTTTAGTCACTTGTGACTTTGAGAAAATAATTTAAATTGTTTGGGCTCAATTCCTTTCCTATAAAGTAGTTTTAATTCCTTTTATATAAAGTAGTTGTGAGGATTAAATAAATGAACAGTGGTAAAATATTTTGTCCATTGTAGGTACTAGTACAAAGAAATCAACTCTGAAGTCCTATAGAATCATTTAGTCTGTGTCTTCCTCAGAAGCTTGCCTTTTAGCAATTCCAAGACTCATTTCCACTCATCCCCATTGCAGAGAAACAAGCCCCAAATACATTAGTGTGAGTCTAACACAAGTAGCCATTTCACTTAATTTAAGCAGATAATAGATTTATTGCTGAAAAACGGTTTAGGGAATAATCTGGGTTTCTTAGTCCATAGTTGTGTTTGGTTCAAAAGCACACATCTAATCAAGGTTCTGATAATAATCACTTTATCATGTCACAGTTTTTCTTTCTGGAGAAAAAGTTCAACATTAAAATCCTCCCAAGTTGAAATGTATTCATTTAAAGTACTTCTTAAACAGAATCCATCTTGGTCTTTTTACACATAGTGTAAAAGCTGTTGCCCACTTACAGGAAGCTGCTGCAGTCCTGGATGAAACTCTCAGTGCAAGTCGGCACAGGTTGCCAGACAAGCTTAGTGGATAAAGCAGGAGTTATTTAAGGACTACAGAGAAATGAGCGGCAGACTTAACTTGGCACAACTATTTATTAAAAGTAGTGATTTAGGAGATTTTTCAAATGCCATTGTTATTTAGATCCCATTTGAGAACTGAGAACAATCTGTTTCAGGAATGAATATTCTTTAGGACAGCCCTGGCTTGTACCTGTTGGTGTAATTATTAATGGGGCCCCTGTCCTTCCCCATAGCCTCCATTCAGATGACAAATTATATAGTAGCTTGCCTTTTGTAGAGTAAAATCTACCTTTTTTCAGATACGTTCCTTATATTAACCTAATGAGAATTCTTGTACCTTTCCTCCAACAGTCTCTTTGGCACTTCATTTATAATTATTACAGCATTTCTTTAGAGTAATTATCAAGAATTGACATTAGTTGATGAATAACTCTCTATGGCTCTCTTATTAGTGAAAGCAAATAACATGACCACACAGGGACTCACCTAATACAGTAGTCCTGGGAGAAAGGCATCAGAGTTAATCCCTTCAAATTTATATTTGCAAAGCAATCTCTAGTCATTCTAATTACTTTCTCAATTTAAAACTACAAGCAAGTGTACTAGCATTGGACAGCAAGGGGATGGAGACATACATCTGACTCTATGCCTTCTGAAATTCTGTTCTAGATATGAGTCACCTGCCTTCCTGTTCCTCAAGAAAGGGTGTGCTGAAGCAATTTAAGAGTAGGGAGAGAGTCTAAATATCACTGGAGAGTTATTACTGTGGGAAGCAGGTCTCCATAACACAAATCCAGATATTCTCTTAAGAGGGAAGGGCAGCCAGATCCTTTGGGGGTCTTGTCGGCATGAAACTGAGCATCCTCCTTTTCTAGGTACTCTAGAATGAATGAATGATCAGATTGGAGAATATGGGTTATTATGAAGTATCATATTTGGAGTTGTTGTATGTCATCAAGTTGGAACTGATCCACCGCTGATCCTCCAGTGAGTTTTCAAAGGCAGTTAATTGCACAGGAGGAGACTGCCCATCTTTCTCCCGCAGAGCAGCTAAGGGTTTTTGTACCATGTGCCTTCAGGATTTCAGCTCAGCTCTTTACCGCTAGACCATGAGAGATCCATTCATATTTGGAGAAGATAGAAAATGCTCTACCTGCTTCCTAATGCCTTTCTGTTTGTTGTTTTTGCTCAACTTAAGACTCTCTGGTCCGACCTAGTCTATAGCCTTTTCCCAGCTGAGCTTTGAAAGAAATAAATAACTTCAAATAATACATGGGAGTAGAAAAATGACTTGTCCTCGTAAATGATATTCTTGTCTTGAGAGAAAATGTATAGCAGCTGGGGAAAGAATGAACCTATGAAACCAGAAGCTTGTCCATCTTTCTCCAATAGGGCCACTATTGGCTTCAAGCCTTCAGACGGGCTTGGCCTTTGGCAGAGCAGCACGATTTCCTATGGACTGCACTAACACAGCTCCTGTTTTTTAGTGGATTTGTTTGTTTGCTTCAAACATGATTCTCAAAAAATCCTGTAACCAATTCCCTTATTTTACACAGGGGGCTTTTCAGAGTGCTGTATAAAGATATTGGTGAATTGCTGGCCTGGAGTGCCCTACCAAGTTACTTTAGTTGAAAAGACTTAAAAATGTAAAGCACGAGTAAATTCTCCCACTGTGAAGAATTGTCATGAGACCTACTGAGACCTCAGTGAATGCTGCTGGAAACAAATTGCATGCATTTCCTGCCTTGCTGGGGAGCTAGCTCACAGTGCTTGGCTACTATCTCTGACAGAGGCATCTCTTGCCCTCCTGGGGAGATTAGCTCAGTGATCATTAAAGCTGAAGTTTTAAGACCCCTTCCCAACTCATGAGCCCAATTTTATATTTGTAGCTTTGTATCCTTTGGCTTAAAAGAGGGATTTTCAAATTTTGTGAGCTTCATGCCCCAGGGAACCCAGGGCTTGCTTTATTTGTTCCTTATAAATGTAGTCCTCTGAAGTAGCCATAAGCTCCTGAACAGAAGAGGGGACCAAATGAAGGTGAGGCTGACTCCTCCTAGATATAGCTAGAAAAACAAGCTGGGGCCTGTGAAGAACTTGGTTGAGATAAAACCTTGAAGACCTGCCCATATTATGTCATAAATTTCGTTCCCTTCTTGTTCCTACCACCATGATCTGTTTGCCCAAACCAAACTTGTCTTTCATACATACCTAAGTGGGATATTTGGTCTGGCAAGGGTCCTGTTTTGTCATCATGCCTAATTTTGTAAGCATTATGCATAGTTTAAGAACTCCATTTCCTAAACTCCACTCCCTGTAAATTGTAGTCACCATATTGGCCAATAATTGAAGCAGGAGGTTTACTCGTCTCACTTGTTAGATACAATCTGCCTGGTGTGTCCCTGTGTGGGAGAAAACCAATGAATGAGGCTTATTTAGACAAGAGCTTCAATACAACTCAAAGTGGTGCAATCCTACATCTTCACTTAATGTTCTTTATGAACAAAGCTCCTGTGTTCCTTTCTGAGGGTAGATAAAGCTGAACAAAACGTACTGCCTGTCACTAGCTCTGGTGCCCCAGTGGGTAAGGAGTTGTATTGCCAACACAAAAGCAAGGAGTTCGAACCCACCAGCTGCTCTGAGGGGGAAAAATATAGGCAGTCTTTTCCCCCATGATTTACAACTTCTGAAAACCCACTGGAGGATCAGCTATGAAATGGTTTTAACTCAATGGGCTGTGAGTTATTGTTGCCATTAAAAATATCCTTGATTTTATTCCATGCTACTACCCAACTAAGCAAAACCCATTACCATAGAGTCAACCGGGATTCATGATGACCCCAAATATTCAATACCTGTGACGTACTTACCTAACTACATAGGGTTGCTACGAGTTATACTCGACTCGGCAGCATCCAACAACAAACAACTACTAGATAGATATTATCATCCTCATGTTTGTTGTTGTGGAAAGTAAGGCTAAGAGAAGTTATGCAAGTTTTACAAGTCTTTTCTTTCGTGCCTTCTTCTGTTTGTTAGGGGCTGGTAGAAGCTGAAAGAGAAGGCTTGTAATATATGAGATTATTGTTATTCTGTGCCATTGAGTCAGAACCCATCCATAGCTGACCTTCCAGCAAGTTTTCAGAGACAGTAAATTGCAGGGAAGGAGATTATTCATCCTTCTTCAGAGGAGCAACTGATGAATTCAACCACTAGGCCACCAGAGGAGGAAGGTTAAAAGACAATGAACATCTCTAATACCACTTTGTTTTCTTCCAGGGCTTTATTCATGTTAGGGAGCAGGGTTACTAACGAAATGTAGGCTTGGTGGTTGGAATTCACCACTCTGAGGTAGAAAGAAGGGATACTTTGTAAAGATTTCATAGTCTAGGATAACTTGTGGGGATCACTGTGAATCTGATCAACTGGATGGTATGGTTTTCGATTCAAGTCTTAACTCAAACATTTATTAATTGCATGGCTTTTAGTTCAAACATTTATTAGTTGCATGGCCTTGGGTAAACTGCTCTCACTCTTCACTACTTTAAATTGGACAAAATATCCCACTTTATAAGGCAACTGGAATGAAGAAATGAGATTGTGCGCACAGAATATTTCTGTATGAAGTGCTCATCACCTAGGCTTCTGTATGCGCACTCACCTTCACATCTTACAGCTTACCTTCTGATATTGTCGTCTGGTTCCCTACAGTGTAGGGGACATGTGTGCGGGCGCGCAAGTGAGGGTGACCTCCTGCAAGCCTGTGCTCAACTGTGTCTGTTACCAATTGTGTCATTGTGTCATCTCCAGGGCAAGTCACTTAACTTTTGACACTGCATTTTTCCTCACACTTTAAGCATGGAATCCCAAACCCACACCTCACAGCTTTGCGGTCGGGATCACAGGTGAGCAAAGTGCTTGGAAGTGACTGTAAAGCTGTGCAAACAAGCGCTGTTCCAGGCATTAACACTCTAGTTTCTGCTGCAGGGAATGGATCCCGGGGTCCCTCTCACAGCCTTGCAGTTGCGCGCAGGAAGGAACATTAACCCTGGGCGCCTCTCTGGGCGTTTCTCCCAGTGGTGGGGAGGAGTTCCGCCCTGAGAACCGCCCAGCCGCCTTCTCTCCCTCACTCCTACTGGAGCTGGGAGTCCCAGGAGTCACGTCTTTCTCTGGAGCCCTGGCTGTGCTTCCTTTGCTGGCCAGGATCAGAGGGCCGGTCACCAGGATGCAGGCCCAGCACAAGGAGCATCTGTACAAGCTTCTGGTGATCGGAGACTTGGGCGTGGGCAAGACCAGCATCATTAAACGATACGTGCACCAAAACTTCTCTTCGCATTACCGAGCCACCATCGGTGTGGACTTCGCGCTCAAGGTGCTTCACTGGGACCCAGAGACTGTGGTGCGCCTGCAGCTCTGGGACATCGCAGGTGAGCGCTGGGGAGGGGTGCGAGAGTGATGGAGGGGCTGCCCAGGCACCCTCTCCAGTCCCAAGGCAGCGAACTGCATCCAGGCATACAGACTGGATCTCCTGGACTCTGTGCCTCAAGAGACCTTTTCCCAGTGGGGTAGACACTTGATTTCAATTCAAAGAAAAAGTTGTTCACGTCCAGCTGAAACTTCTGGCGTACCCTCTTGTGTTTTAGGGATATTTCTTGAAATCCTTCAATATCCTATCATGCATCTGACTACTTGGCATCAGCAGATTGCCCAAGTGACCCAGAAGGAGAATGGAGTTGCATTCGGTTCTTGGTCTTCAGCTCCTTTTCTGCACTTGGGCAATCCTCCTGTGACACAATTCATTGTCATGCCAGCCCTTGCTTGCCCTCAGCAGTGCAGGGGAAAGCTCCTAGGCAGGTTACCAGCTGGGACCCAGGCAGTCCAGCAGTTCACAAATTATCTCTTTTTAGTAGCTCACTTCTCTCCTCTCCAACCCCAACACACAGGCAGGTACACACAAATCTCACCCCTAGCGTTTTGCCAACATGTCTGGCTACAGTTAAGAGAGTTTTGGGTTCTCTGCTGTTAGGAAGCCAAGGACGTTTCTATGTTTCTATCAGGGCAATTTACAAGCTCTGTCTGAAGTTTACATTGCACTGTCTGGAAACAGAGGAGCACCTTTAGAGGATTTGAAATCAGAAGGGTTTCTAAGGATTTATACCAAAAGTTTTGAATATAGAATGCCTGCTCCAATCTTGGCTCTTCTATAACCCCAGTGTGGAACCTGGACATGGCCAACATCCCCCTGCAGATCAAGGCTCACCAACTTGCTCAGTAACTTAGCACAGTCCCTTCAGTTTAGTTTTCTCTTTTGAAATAAGGTTGGTTGCTGTTGGCCCAAAAGTCTGCCTTCTTACAAGCTTCAGCAGCTACTTCAGACAGTCTGACTTTATCCTTGACTATTTCATACTTTGTGGCACCAAGAGTCTTTATAAATACTCACACAAGCTTCTTTTCACCTTTAGAAAATAGTTTCATATAAGCAAGTGTGTTTGAATGGAAATATTTTATCATGGCTTAAAGCAAGAACAAATGTGGAAAATTTTTGAAAGGGCATTTCTGGTTCTGGGGAATCTCCTGCCTCTTAATCATGAGCTGTTCGGTCTTATGATAAGGTTTTTGGCTTGTGGATAAATTCACGCCTTTGCAGTCATCTTCAGCAGCCCCAGTAGCTCCAGGGTTATCAGAGGTTAGAAGATGTCATCAGCTACTATGTAACTGGATTTTTTAATTTAGAAAACCCACTCTTGAGTCTGGAAGCTTTGTGGCTACCTGTTTTAGTGTCTGAAAACCACGCTGGCTGCCTAAAGATCCCCAGGGCTTCAATTTGGAGTTAGTTTATGTTGAAAAGTGAGTGTAGGTGTAATTTGGATTTCTCTGTCATATATAACTAGCAATATGAACTTTAGTGTTTTATATAATGTCTATGGGCTACAGTTTTCCTCTCCTTACAGAGGTGATGGAAGAATATAGTGATTAAGAACCTAAGTTCCAGAAATGGATGATGTTAACTAAGTTCCCTAACATCCTCCTCTGTTTCCTTGTGCTATTAGCCTAAAAGTTAGTGCTTTAAATCTACCAGCTACTCCCAAGGGCAAATATGACTATTACCCTCATGTTAAGATTTACAGCCTTAAAAACCCAACAGAGGATCACTGGTCAACCAAAGAAACTCTCCCACAAATGAGAGGAACCTAGGAATAGTCCAAGACAATGGTACTTACTGCAAATTAATGACACTGGTACCTTCCCCCCCCTCCTTAAGTGTAAGCAGGGAACCTCTCCAGAGTGCTGAAAAGAAATGATGTCAATCTGTAGACTAAGGTGCACCTGATCCAGACCATAGCCTTTGCAATTACTTGCTATGTGTCAGAAAGCTGGACAATGACTAGGGATGACAGAAAGAGAATAGATGTCTTTGAGCTATGGTGCTGGAGAACAGTGGACTGCAAGGAGAACAAACAGATTTGTCCTAGAGAGGGTGAGACTGGGCTGCTCCTTGGAGGCAAGGATTCTGAAGCTTTGTCTGACATACTTTGAGCATGTTGCAAGGAGGAACTAGTCCTTGGATAGGGATGTCATGCTTGGGGCGGTAGAGGGACAGTGCAAGAGAGGAAGACACTCAATGAGATTAATCAATTCAGTGACTGGGTTTAGGAAAGTAGATGTGTCAGAGACATTAAGGTTGGTACAGGTAAAGCAGCTTTCAGAGCTGTTGTAAACAGGTCGCTATGAGTTACAAGCAGCTTGATGGCACATAACACCACCAACAAACAGAGAAATGTGAAACACACATTCTGATTAAATCCTAAGAAATGATAGTTTGAATTCTAACTTTTTCCCCCAAACACTCAGCACCATTTAAAAAACTATTATTTTGTTATTTTTGATGACAATATATATACCATCAAAAAACCTCAAAACTTCTTTTGCTTTTGAATAGGAACTGACTCATAATTGACCCTCCAGCGAGTGTTCAGAGACTATAAATTTCACAGAAAGAGATTGTCCATCTTTCTCCTATTGAGCCACTGATGGACTTGAACTGACTGCCTTTAGGTTAGTTGTGCAACTCTCCTACAACTACACCACCAGAACTCTGGATTCATTAGCATAGCTTATTCCCATTCAACAGTTTCTGCATGTACAATTCAGGGATATTGATTGTTATCCTTCAGTTATGCACTCATTATCATTATCACCTTCCTTTAGAATGATGGGTTTTACACTGTCAGCACCCTTCTAAGCTTTATCCACCACACGCAGTCAAAAAATAATTTCAAGCTTATAAATGCCTCCGGAGTCATTCATGACTCTGGATTGAGATCCCTTCCTCCTGCCCATGAGTCTGTAGTAATAAAAGTATGTTAGTAAGAAATCAAAGGCAGTTGAGAAATCAGTTCCACAGACTCAGGGGTGAGTAGAATCCTAGCTTGGAATTTTCTTTTTCCCCAGAACACTCATGTTCTCCAGTTGCTTGACTTTGTCAGCCTTAAGCCCAAAGGCCATGAGGACTACCTCAGACGTTGGACAGCACACAAAGCTGACTGAGAGAATCAGGGCCATTATGGGATAGAATGGTTGGAAAGTAACACTGACACATTTCAAACTGCATAGGTGGCCCCATGGGGAGTGAGTTCATATGAAACCCAGCCATAATTGCCCACCTAGACTCCATTCAGCTAAGTTCCTTCAAGCACCTTCAAACCACAGTCTGTCTGAGGATGACAATGCAGCTCTCTTTTCTCTTGCTGTACTCTGACATGTACTTGGCAAGTCGTGACAGTTGGTGAGCCTAGCTTGAGAGGGCTGGTGTGGATGAGCTAGAGGGAATCTTTCAGTCACTTGCTTTGTCCTGGTAGGATATCAAATTAGCCAATGGGGAAGGAAATCTTGACTCAACTTGACTTTCTTCTCCACTAGCCACTCCGTGGGAGAAGGATGGGCAATCTCCTACCATGTGGTTTAGTGCCTCCGAAAACCACTGGAGGGGTAGCTATGGGTCATTTCCAACTCAACAGTGCATAACAGCAACAATTACTATAGTAAATATATATGTAGGGAGCTATGGTAACTTAGTGGTCAGGAGTTGTGCTGTCCACCCAAAGGCTACAGGTTTGAATCTACCAGATGTTCTGAGGGGGAAAAAAGATGAAAAATCTCCTCCTATGTGATTTACTACCTCTGAACACCCACTGAAGGGTCAGCTACTAGTCAGCCTTGACTAGATGGTACTTACCAACAACAATATATACATCTATAGCCAAATATTAAACATTTTTAACATTTTTCACATGTACATTTCAGTCAAAAGTCAGATCCAACTCATCGCTGATCCTTTCAGTAAGTTTCTGAGGTTGCAAACTTCACAGGAGAAAATATTTCCCCAAGGATCTGCTGGGAGATTTTAACCACAGAGACGGTTAGCAGTGCAACTCCCTACAGAGTAGGCCACCAGAGCTCCCTTCTCCCCTGGTTTTTACTTTTATGTGCCTTCTAGTCTGAACTGACTCATAACTGACCCTCCAGGGGGTTTTCAGAGACTGTAAATAGCACAGGAGAAAATGACCTTTCTCCCATGGGTTAATTGGTGGTTTGAACTACATATCGTTGGGTGGTTGTCCAAGCATCTCCTTACCCACTAGGCCACCAGAGTTTCTTCCACTCTTGGTAGTCACTAGTATACTTAGGTCTGAATACACTTCCCTTTCTAGTCCTACCATATTTGTTCTTTTATGTTTGACTGCTTTTACTCAGGGTCATATCTTCTAGGTTTATATAAGCTGAAGCATGTATCAGAATTTCATTTCCATTATTAATAGAGCAGTATTCCAATATATGTATTTTATTTATCCACTCATTTCTTGATGGCAATTTTGGTTGGTCCATCCTTTGGCTATTGTGACTATCCTATAATAAACTCTTGCCATTCATTAGAAAGGAAGTTCCTTCTAAGTAGGGCGTGGCTTGCCCAGTGAATTACTGTAATATATTCCCTAGAGCTACTCAGATGGCCAAATCTGTGGAGAAGGTCAAAACCCTCACAAATCCCATAGGGGATAGATAGTAATTGTTCCGGATTTCAAAAATGTTACCACTGGGAAACAGCTGAGTCAGCTCTTTGTTCATTAGCCTTTGATAGAATGAGCAAAATTAAGCAATTTTGCCCAAGACCAGTCAGCTAATAAGCGGAAGAGGTGAATTTGACCCAGTTCTTTCTGACGTGAAATCAGGCCATGCTCTTCAGGCCTGTTGGTTCCTGGCACACAGTCAGCCCATAAGTCTGTGCCCATTTCCTTTTAAAAGTGTTCTCTCTTTTGCCTAAAATAACCAAATTCACTGCTATCATATAGATTCCAATTCACAGTTACCCTGTAGAACAGGGTAAAACAGGATTCCAAAAGCTTTAAATTTATGAGAAGTTTTTTTG